ACAGTCTGGGTCCTCATTTCACCCACCTCGGAAGGCTGGAAGGCTGAGTCAACCTTGAGCCGGTGAGATTTGAACCGCCGAACTGCAGATAACAGCTGAAGTGGCCTGCAGTACTGCACCCTAACCACTGCACCACCTCAGCTCTCATTTGACTTGGGTGAAACAAATGGTGGAAAAGCCAGAGTCCTCCCTCCCACAGGTTTTGGACCAGTTTTCAGTGGGGAAGGAAGGTCAGTTCTGGAAATTTATAATGTTCATCCAAGGAACCATACTTCTAGATACTACCATATAATATTGCTGTCTGTAATTGACATTTTTGGATGAATAGCAAGCTATGTATCTGCGGAGGTCTGTTTATAACAAGAGAAAGTATGATCTTCCCTGTGGTAACACTTTGGGGGGGGGGGCATGAAGTTCCAAACAATGAAAGTGAGTTGCAGTGATCTCAGGGACAGTTCTGAGAGTCCGGGGGTGTTAATGGAGGTGTCCCAGGTTCTTTAACCTGGAAGTTGTTTCAGGGGCAGCCTTTCTCTTAACCACAAATCCTGGATTTCAACATTGGATGGATGAGTAAAAAGTGGTGCAATGCTGCCTCCTAGGAGTCAGTGGGATTGTTTAATGATTTGCAGGGGAATGGTCTTGGTGGTTATTGATTCAATAGATGGGATATTATCCCTGGCTTTTGCGATCAGGATGGCCTGTAATAAAAAGGTTGCTTGTATCTGTCCAGATTGTGGTAAGGAATATAGCCCAAAAGGCAAATACAATGCAGAGGGAGTATGACAGATAAGGCCAGTATTCCTCTCTGCACCAGCAAGATCCTGAAAGCAATCAGATCTTTGAAAAGTATGTTGTCCAAGCAGCGTGGATGAGTTTGATATGGAGTTTCTGGTGTTCTGAAAATATATGAAGATGGAAAGAAGCAGATCAGGTTTGGTATGAAGCAGAAACTTGCTACCTGAGTAGCCTACTAGATTCTTGAGAAAGAAGCCCTCTTTGAAACTAGCTGGTGGATTTCTACTTTAGTTGTGGAACCTCTCCCAAGTTAATAATCTCTCGTCTGATTCAGAGGCTGAGAAGTGGCAGCAGGAACAAGTCCATTGGTATCAAGGTTTGCATTCCCACTACAAAATCTTGCATCTGAACTTCAGATTACTAATGAATTGGCTGGCATAGTTGAACTAGCTGCCTTTTCTCAATCTTTTTTCCTTTTTCCCCACCTTGAATGCATCTGCAGGAGCCTCTAAGTTCCATCTAGTTTTTCCAATTCATCTGCAGGTAACATATTTGACTCACATTACATGGCAATTCCAGGAAAGCCAAACAAGGCTAAATCTCATCTCACATACTGTGTTGCTGCTACTTTCATTTGTGATATGTTTACTCCTCAGGACCAAGAAGGAACAAAACTAATTGCGTGTGCATCACAGTGTTCGTGAAGTTAGCTGCTTTTAGGTCTGCTCTAGAGCTCATAAGTGCAAAGCTTGTTTTGAGCCTGTATCATGAAAGCTTGACTAATGTAGGTGCTACTTGTCACCTACAAAGCCCTGCATGGTATTGGATCTGGGTACTTGAGAGACCGCCTACTGCCAATCNGGAATCTATCTAAAGGGATCCAGTGGTTTCGGGGCAAATGGGGAATCTATCTAAATGGATCCAGTGGTTTCGGGGCAAATGATTTAGTGGCGTTCATTCAGGTAGATGCCTTACACCAGAGATCCACCCACTCGAACCAAGCACGTCCATATAGCCCAACAGAGTGGTCACAAACCTAGATTTAAAGACAGGTGGGGGGGGGCAGGGGGTACCTGGGAGCGATATAAGCCGAGCCCAGGAATTTACCTGGGCTTAAAAAAGGGGGGAGACGGGGTAGAAGAGGCCAAGCCCATATTCTGCCTACACTTCCCATAGGCGCTTTGCCCTTCCGCTTTACCCAAGGGACCCTTTCCCCCCCTCCCCTGGCTGGATACCGAGCCCCTCTCTCTCCCGCCCACTTACCGAAACGCTCCCACTCGGCCCGGTCCAGCGCGTCCATGATCTCGTAGAACTTGCACATGACCGCGGGAGGCAAATCGTAAAGGAGCCGGTTCGATCCGCAACCGGCCATAACCCGCTGGTCTTCGCTATGACTACCGCCCTCCACTGCCCACGCCAGGCCATAGGAGAGGCTGGGCAAGGGGGAGGGGGGGGAAAGAAAGAAAGAAAGAAAAGGGGGTGGGGGGAGGTGAGAAAAGAAAAAAAGGGGCTACTTCCCCTTTAAATAGCGCTCAGGATGAGGAAGAAAAAGGTCGTTTCGGCAGGCTCCCGCTCATCCTCCTGCGCATGCGCCGACGGCAACGTGCGTCTTCACTCCGGGCGCGTCGCCGTCGTACGCAGAGCAGCCATCTTGGACGTGGCGGGCGTCTTTTGGACGTCCCGGTTTGGGAAGCCTTCTCTTTGTGCGCGCGCTCCCTCCCTCCATTGGTATCACCTGCTCCGAGGGATCCTTCAGACCGGGACGTTTAAGGGTTTTTACTTACGGTGAAGTCTTCGCTGTCGGGGCTTTCGACGGCAGGGTCAAGGATGTCAAGCCGCCCCACACACATACACACACACCGCCCCATGGCTGGGCTATCACACACTTGGGGACGCCGCGGAGCGACGCTGTGTGTAAGGTCGCTCAGACGTTGCAGGTTCCTTCCTAGAGGTGAGGCTGATACGAGTCGCAGCGTTGCAAGGCGACGAGAAGCGTCTGCCTTTGATTGGCGTGAACTCCATTCGACTTAGCGCAGTGTTTCTCAACCTTAGCAACTTGAAGATGTCCGGACTTCAACTCCCAGAATTCCCCAGCCAGCGAATGCTGGCTGGGGAATTCTGG